TGTGTGTGTGTGTGTGTGTGTGTGTGTGTGTGTGTGTGTGTGTGTGTGTGTGTGTGTGTGTGTGTGTTTGCGCGTGTGTGTCTCTGTGTGTGCGTGCGTGCGTGTCTGTTGTTGCATCCATAATTTTACAATTGTCTCTTGGTCCCCAGGTATGAGAACATATATGAAAGATATTATATAACTCAAGTAATACATAGTTTTGTGACCACCTACAGGACGAAGAAGTGAACAACAACGTGGTAAGACTGTCCTACACCACGGCCACAGCCTGCCTACAGCCGGACGGGAGTCTGCACTGCCAGCCAGAGCACATGTCTAGCATGGAAAGGGGTTAGAAAACATGTCTATATCTACGTAATATGTACATATTCTGATATAAAAATACAAGCTAACCAAAGAGCTGTGTCCTTTTCATCTTTTGGGTGGGGAATGTGGACTGTCGCTTCATCATTTCGACTGTTTGTTCTTTTCTTTTACATGTATTCTTGGTTAGTGTTTTGCATTGTTTAGTAATATTAGTTTTATTCGTATAAGTGGCGGCGCTAACATAAGTTACCTAACTTGAGCCCGTCGTCACTTTGTCCTGTACCCTTATTTTGTTTATTGTATGCTGAATTAAAAAAAAAGCACATGTCTCACATAAGAAAACGTACCGATATCTTCATATGTAGCCTCTGCCAGGCTTCGGAATCGGCTGGAAAGAGTAGAAATTGGACAATAATATGCCGTCTGAGTTGTGCCGTTAAGGAGCACAGTTAGCTAGGGAGTGGTAAGTCGCTTCTGAAGCTTGGTAGAGACTATGAATATCAAATATACATACGTACAAAATACCAGAAGTGCACTGCCATTTCTGGTTGACTACAAACGGCAATCAATATTGTTGACTTTGTCACTAATTATAATTGAAAGTTATACGTACGGAGTTGTTAAGTTTTTTTTTGGTAAATTGTTCATATTGACCATATTGATATCTATTTATACTGATTTCTGTTTGAATACTGTAGGTTTTGAATTTCCGACCATCAACTACACGAAGTATAACGGGAAGCCGTACAGGTACTTCTACGGGACTGGTCTGGCCGGGGCTTTTACAGACTCCGTAAGTCAGCAATTTATGCACTATTTACACTATATAATCATTCAAAATTGTTTTGTCATTGGATTTAATATATGAAATGAATATCAATAATCAGAGAAAGGAATAGTCTTACTGGATACGTATATATACATAATATTGGGTACAGACATGACATAGGCAAATGTTAAGAGTTCATTTCTTTTCATTTTCTCCAGCTTTTCTGATTTTCTATTTCTATTAAAACTTTCGACCCAACACAAAAAGTTCTCTAACGTAGAGCTTTCGACCAGTCACTCTGGTCTTCCTCAGTAGACTGACCCAGTGAGGCTTGTCACGTCACACTTAAAATATCTGGAAACCATCGATTTTAAGACATCTTAACGCATTTTCTTTAATCTCCAGTTGTTTAAGATGGATGTTAAGACGAAGAAACTGTGGACGTGGCGGGAGAAGCACTGTTACGGCTCCGAGCTCATCTTCGTGCCGGATCCGAACGGCGTGGAGGAGGACGACGGTAAACCGGCTACTTTTTAATTTTCAACCTGCTAAAGTAGTTCCATAGCTATAGCTTGTAGCCTGGTGTCCAGTCTATCGCGGTTGGGGCGGTTGCTATTCGGGGTTCTATTAGCAAAGCCCCTACAGCCGTAACCCTCCGGTCAGTTGAGTTGGACGGGGGGAACTATTAGAGCCCCGAAGACAGCTGAGATCATGATAGATGCCCGAGGATACCGGACGGGTACCACTGAGGATACGTATCTCAGAGTCTAGCCTTAATTATTAGCTTCAGCTCCGCTCCCCAAGATCCTATATCCCACCAACAAGCGCCTCCGCGGCGGAGCACACTTCAACAAATAAGGCTAAAAATTGCTTCTACTCGACATATAAAGAAGCAGTTCAACCTGTGCATACTATTACAGGTTTAAGCCCGCGATGTAGTAAGACGCCAGACTCTTATATCACTAATTTGTACCTAGAAGGCCTAGAACTGGACTATAAAATTTACTTGCAAATGTACCTCATTAGAGCATAAGCGTAAGTAATAGTAAAGGTATTCCATGCATTTATCTATTATTTCCCACTCTGCCGCAGGCGTGCTCCTTGCGACCGTGGTGGACGTGAAGGACGAGGCAGGCGCGTTCCTGCTGGTCCTGGACGGGAGGACTTTCACGGAGCTGGGCCGGGCTGTCCTGCCGGCACCCGTCGGGGTGGGGTACGGCCTGCACGGCTGCTACGTACCGGAGGCCCAACCTGGCGAAATTTTCAAGAAACTATGATATGTTGGTGACGTTACCTAGAGGTTTTGAGGTGCACCTTTCAGGCTAAAGATGCTTGGAGTAACGTTCTAT